AGAGGGGCTGCCTGGGGGGATGGGGCGTTACGACAGGGCAGTGGGGTGCTCCCTCTGGGGTCCCCCAGCCCTTCAGGGCAGCCATGGGGCCCCCTTGCCGTCCCCACTCACCCTGCAGGCCGATAGCCTCCAGCTCCCGGCGCAGCACCCGGACCCGCTGCTTGGTGGAGCTGCACCCTGCCAGCAGCTTCTTGTAATTGCGCCGCACCCCGCAGGCCAGGATGTATCGCTTCAGCCGCTGCACCGCAGGGTGGTCCCTCGCCGGGCCTGCCTCCTCCCTGCCTGGCGCCTAGGGGCGGGGACAGGTTAGCAACAGCCCCAGGGCACGGGGCCTACTTCAGCTTCTCTCCGGCCTGGGAAAATCAAGCTAACGTTTCCCAGGCCCAGCTGGGGGGAGAAGAAATTCCTTCAAAACCTCGCAGGTTTGGGTTTTTCCAGTTCCCCCGCTGTCCCGGGGAAACCCGCTGGAGAAGAGAAATGAGTGTTGGATTCCAACTTTGGGTGGTTTTCCTGAGCCCCGACTCCCTCTTCTCTTTTAAAATAGACAATATTTCCATTGGGGGAAACATCATGCAATAAAATTCCATTTCACGATTTCCTCTCCCTTTTTATAACCCTCCTCCTCCTCGAGGAAAGGTAGGTAGGAATATGTCACGTCCCAATTTCTTGTTCCTGATCTTTTCTAAGAAAGTTTCCACTGAAAGGAAAATTCACACAGTAAAATATTAGCTTATAATTTCTTGTTGCCTCTTTCTCTTGCTTGGAAAGTACATTTCCACTAGAAAGAATTGCAGTAACATTCCAGTTCACTTCCTTTCCCCGTTTTATTTTCTTTTAAAGTAATTTTTAGGCAAAAAGAAATCATGGCGCACCATTTGGTAATTTCTTTCCCCCACATTTAACTGTTTTCCCCCCCCACTAGAAAATAATGTAGCAAAATGTAACTGAAAAAATATGCATTTTTCTAGTTTTAGAAAATAATTCCCACTGGGAAAAATTAATAAACATTCAGTTTCATTTCTTTTTCTCTCTCTACCTTTTTAACTGCACTTGGAAGCAATTGCATTCAATAAAATTTCAGTTGTTTTCTCATTCCTGACTTGTTAACCATATTTCCACGAGAAAAAAATAGTGTAATTTCTGTTCAGAATTCCTTTTCCCTGCATTTAAAACAATTCTCCCACCAAGGGGCCGAGTGTGAATCAAATGGAAACTTTCAGTTCTCCATTTTTCTTTTCCTTTTCCACTGGGGGGACAAAAAAATCATGCAGTACAATTTATTTCACATTTTATTTCCTTTCTTTCACTCTTTAAAACTAATGTGCCAGAAGAATAAAGCTTTGAGCTTAGTGTCAGTTCCTTTGTTCCTGAATTTTAAAACAGTTTTTCTACTGGAGAAAAAGGAATGTAGCAAAAATTAGAGTCCAAAATTTCTTTCTCCCTCCTCCCCAAAAAGTTTAAAACAATTTGACAGGAAAAAATGTGGAAAAATTTCAGTTCTCAATTTCTTTTTCCCTTTCCCTAGCTAGTAAGAAAATTGTCCCTCCCAAAATAAAACAATAAAAAAGGAAACGCATGTAAGAACATTTCACTTGCTAACTTTTCACCTTTTCCTGACTCTCATATCAGCTTTCTGGCCTGGAGAAAAACAATGTCTTTAGTGCAATTTCTGCCCTCGGTCCTTTCCCTCCACTCATTAAACACGTTTTTCATGGGAAAAAGAATTCATTTCACAATTTCTTGGGGTTTTTTTTTGGAAATTTGAAAACAATTTTCCACTGGAAAAAACAATGTAGACAAATTTCAGTTCAATTTCTTTGTTTCTTTTATTGACCTTCACTAAGAGAAAAATGGGAGTTAGTGGAATTTCAGATCCTATTTCCTCTGTCAGGACACTGAAAAGAATTTTGCCAAGAGGAAAACGAATTAGCCTGTGCTGCTGGAGTGGCAATTCCTTTTGGTGGGTGCCCTGGCAGAGCTGTCCTGGGTCCCCCCACTCCTCACCTTTCCCTTCTGGCACTGGGCGCCTCGGCCGGGGCTGCTTTTCTCATCTCGTGCGGAGGACGAC